GCACTTAGATTAAGCTAGTACTTGTATTTTCGGTGCTTTTAAATCCCTCAGAACTGGTTCGACAATCATCTATACTACAACATTTGCTTTAGGAGCCTCAAAAACTCCTAATATCAGAACCTCTGAATCCCCCTTAGATCCGGTCCAATTGTAAGAAGTTTCAGTCGACTGAGATCTCTTTTTAGGCGGTAGTGTCGGTGAATCTTCGTCTTGTGCTGGAGACTCACCATATGAGCTAAAGTTATCATCTTCGGATGACGCACCATCTGAGTCGTCAAACATATCAAATCGGCTATCAAATTCACTGTCTTCTTCACCTTCTTCATCTTCTCCAACATCTTTCTCTTTTTCTCCGTCGTTATCATCTTTATCATTGTCGTTCTGTTCCTCCTCCAAACTAAAACCATCATATCTAGATTCAACTTCTGAAACTTCTGCTTCTGAGCTGAAACTGTATAATATATTACTTTTTTCTCCCGCTCCGTCTTTCCGGCTGATCTCATCATCCTCGTTCTCTGTAATCTCTACACAGAGACGTAATCTTTCGAATTTCCTTAGGCTTAAAAATATTTGCAATTGACGAGTATTGGAGATGTAAACTGGTGGCGTGTCGTGAGCCATTGTTTTCAAAGCTTTATTCGAGAACTGGTAGCTTAGCTGAATCTGATGGCTCGACTCATTCAATCCGTAATCATCGAGTACTGACTTTGCCAGTTCGCCGTGTGTTGTTTTCTCATCTGCATGCAAAACAATACATCCTCTACTGTCGGGTGTGAATACATATATGTTTTTCTTAATCCAGTTACCTGAAACAATAATTACTGGATCCATAAGATTTTAGAGAAAGAGATGAAGGTGAAGAACAGATAGCGGCGTCTGTAACATAAACCCTAATTTCGTTGTTGTAGCTAGTAATGACATTGAAAATAAAAGCTGACATGGATGATGACATGGAAAATCAGTTATTCAGCCACCAAACGAACATTTAAGTCAGCCACAATAAGTCAGCCACTTAATACACCGTAAGTCAGTCAAAACGTGAATACTATTTTAGTAATTAACTTTTTGTTAACAATCAGCCATAACAGAGATGAAACGCAAGAAGTCAGCTGTATCGTNAACTCAGCCGTTATCACATAAACCAGCCAGATTTTTTTAAGTCAGCCGTAACGATCGACTGAGTTATGTTCATAACTCAGCTTATTTCTCATAAGTCAGCTAGGTTAGTTAAGTCAGCCGCAACGCACCTATATCTCGGCCGTAACGTAGTTCGTATCGTATTGCGGCTGAGTTTTATGCCGCATTCTTACGTGGACCCAAACTTTTTGCTTACGTGGCATAAAAAAGTAATGGCATTCTTGTAAATATGTTTTTTTCTCACAACGTGGAAAAAGGGCACGCTGGGTATTAAAAAAAAGGTAGTAATAAAAAAAAGTTTTGTATGGTTGTGATAATAATTAATAAAATTCATATTAGTTGAGTTAACTTCCCTTTTTTAAATAACACAAAATAAAAAAAGGAAATATTTCATTGGCTAATATACATAGACACGGATCATACTTTCCACCCTTGGATTAGATACAATCCAACAGACCAAATCTAACCTCTCTCCTTATCGTTCTCTTTCCTCTTTATTTTTTCTCTTTGTCGACACATATTAACTTCTCCACTTTTGTTCTTCTCTTCTTTCGCTTCCCCTTTTTCCACTTCTCTTCAAATTTTGCCTAACTCTCATGTCTCTCCACATAATTTTCTATATCTTTCAAAACTACTTTTATTGTAAAATAACTGATTTTTCTGGGCTATTACTAACTTTATCTCTATCTGTTTGCCGTCACCAAACCTTATCATGACTTTTGCTTCTTCTCTGGTAAAATTCGAGTGTCACCCTCTTTTTTCTTGCATCTTAGATTATTGATTGATCTTCATAATCCTTGATAATTTTGTCTTCTGTTTTTTTTTCTTATCTTTGTCCCTAGCGACTCTAGTTCGGTGGTTGACGACGGAGGTCAGTGAGCTGAAATGACGGCTCGTGAAGGGAGAGAAACAAGCTATCCGGTCGCTGAAGGTGGATCTGAAGGGGATTCTAGGGATGATGGGGCTAACGACAAGGTGGAGACAGATGAAGCTTTAGGAAAACGGAAGAGTTTGACGGCGGAGGAGGATTAAGAAATGAGTTAGGTTTAGATTTTTTTATTTGTTTTAGTTTTAATTTAATTTTGTAGACTAAATTTAATTTACAAATTAATCTTTTATTGTAAACCAATTCTCGTTAATTTATGGACTGTTAAAAATATATTTTTATAATTTTTGTGATTAATAAAAAATTGAAACAATTACGAATTGAGCGCTATTTATTTCGTGATTATAATATACGACTACTAACAATTGGTCTTTAATCTACCACTAAATATTTTGTATCAAGATTGTCGCTAATATACGACTCATACAGCGTGTCATACACTAGTCGTAGTTTAGCTTCACATTTGCGACTAACTATTTTTGCGACCAAATATTTGCGACCACTAAATAATGTCACTAAATAGTCCCAAATAACACATTTGCAACCAACTTGTGACAATTTTGTTGGTGGGAAATCATGTGTTTTCTTGTAGTGATATTTCACAGTAGCTTTGGTATGGGTTCAAAACAAGCTTTCGTTTTAGATGGGGAATTTTTACACATGAGGTGCAGTGCTCATATAATTAACTTGATAGTTAGAGATGGAATGGCTGAAATAGATCAGAATGCTGCTGATATCCGCTATATCCTATGTCAGATCTCATACTAATAGGTTGAGATCTTTTGAGCTGAAAGTTGACTCAGAGAGGATCACAAGAGGCAGTTTGCCATTGGATGTGAAGACAAGGTGGAATTCAACATACCTGATGTTGACAACTGCTCAAAAGTTCAAGGTGGCTTTCAATAAGATGGAGGCAGAGGATAGGCTATACAATGACTATTTCTGTGAGTTGGAGAATGGAGCAAAAAGGGTTGGTCCTCCGCAGCTTAGGGATTGGAATGCAATTGATATGCTGTGTAGGTTTCTGATGATCTTCTACAACTCAACATTGGTGGTTTCTGCGTCTACTACACTCAATTCGCATAAGTGTTATGGTGAGCTGGTGACAATAGCGACCAATCTGAGAGGGCTCTGTCTCAATAATGATCCTGATTTGAAGTCTAAGGCCGTAGAGATGCTGAAGAAGTTTGAGAAGTACTGGGATGGAGTGAAGAATATTAACATGATGTTAATTGTGGCCACTGTTTTTGATACAAGAAACAAGTTAGAACTTGCAAATATGTGCTTCGAGGAGCTATATGGTCTGGAGAGTTTAGAGTATAAGGAGATGTATGAGTCGCTAATCAATTTGTTGAGAAGTTTGTTCAAGGAATACAGTGAAAGACATGGAGGTTTCTTTGATCCAAATGACTTGACTTGACTTCACTTTCACAGTCTAGCGAGCAACCTCTGACAAGGGACGAGTGTATTGAAAGGATGGAGCTTGTGGACGACTATGTGGGTTACAAGAGGATGGATGTTAGGTACAAGCAGAAGCTCAACGAAATTGGGGTTAGAGAAAAACGTAATGAGCTGGAAACTTATTTTAAAGAACCTGTGGAGAATCCTGAGCTGATGGTTGGTGTGGAGTATAATGTACTCTCATGGTGGAGAAGCAATGCAGTTAAGTTTCCTGTCTTGTCTGAGATCGCACGAGATGTGTTAGCCTTACAAGTCTCATCTGTTGCTTCGGAGAGTGCCTTTAGCACGAGTGGTCGGATTCTAGAACCACATAGGAGTTGTCTCACACATTACATGGTTGAGGTCCTAATGTGTACCGAGCAGTGGATGAAGCAAGACATAAAGATGGAGTCGAGGGAGCTTTCAAATTCTCAAATACTTGCTGATCTTGAAGAAGTGGACAAGCTTGAAAGAGGTACTTTCTCTTTGTGTTGCTTATAGTACTTCTATCCTATATTGAACAAGTCTAACTTGAACACTTTACTTGTCTTTGTCTTGCTTAATAAGCATTGCTTATAGTAGTTTGATGTGTTGTTTGTTGTAGTTTTTCTTTGTCTAACTTGAACACTTTACTTTGTGATTCCAGAGTATGGAGACATAACAGTTCCAGAAGAAGACTAGTTTGATGTTGTTGGACTTGGACGCATGAAGACTGAAGAGTGAATTGTATGTTTTTCTAGTTGCAGTTTGAATTTGAACACTTTGCTTTTGTTTCGGATTGAATGTTTGTTTTCTTAAGTTGAAGACATGTCATTGTGTTTTGTGTGTTAAACTTATGCTACTATTTCGTTTTCAGATATGTTTTCGGTATTATGGTTTTTTTGGTAATGTAATCGGATTTATGGCTATCTTTTGGTTATATTCGGTTTTTTCAGTTATTGTCTGGTTACCTTTGGTTGTCAAATTTTATAACCGAACTGAACCCATTTATATTTCAGGTTTAGGCGGATTTTACAGTAGTAACCCGTACCGATCCGAACCCGGTTAGTTCTGAACCGTAACCGTACTGAGAATCTCAAATAACCAAATGGGACTTCTAGGCCTAGATCCGAAAAACCGAAAATCCGTTTAAACCGAACCGAACCCGATCGGGGGACCGAACACCCAGGCCTAGTAGTGAGTGTTCTTTACACCGTTTTGATTTTGACCTTAAATTTAAACAATAACTAAAATCCGAACCGAAAAGAAGAACCCAACCAAACCAACGCTAATCACGGCCGAGTAAACAAGCCGCAGATGATCTAAAACGTGCCAACGTGGCATTCATCATACGACGAGTCTTCCTTATAAAATCTTTTGAGCAGAGATTTTGTAAGTAAATGTGTAAAAGAAAAATTCAGTACAACTTTGACCTCAAAATTCGAACAAGAACCGGAATCCAAATTTGGTAATAACAAAAACAAAACCGCAGTAAACCCAAATAGAACAGTCTCCACTTCCCGCCAGGGCCGAATCTCAAGGGCATGTCTGGTTCAATCTGAAACTGAACTGAACCACTCATGAATCTCTCTAATCTTACACTCCCCGTAACCCTAATCCCCAAACTTCCAATTCGTCAATCAACCGCTCGAATCACCAGCAGGAACTTAGCAAGCCCTCCTAGGCTTCTACTTACGCTCCGTCTTGATGAGACGAAAAGGGTTTTCCGGGTTTTAGCCACAGTGGACGGAGATGGTGAAAAAACCGGAAATTGGGTTAACCGGTTACCAATTCCAGGATTGGGAGCTGAGAATGTATTCAGATTGATTTCGAGCGCGACGGGGAGTCCAATCGGACAGTTCATATCGTCCCCTGTCACGTTCTTGCACTCGGTGGATCCAAGAATCAAACTGGTAACTAAAACTCTTGATTTTTTTTTTGTTGTCAAATGACATACCAAAGATTCAAGCTTTCCTTCTTAATTTCATCGTTGGTTTTCTTTTTTCTTTTTTAATTGAAATGTTAAATTTAAACTCAAAAAAAAAAAAGACCTTACATCAATTGTTTTGAATTTGACTAATAAACTACAATATGCTATGGACCAACTCTATATGCTATGGTTCAGTCAAATTTTGAATAGTTTCTCATGAAGAAATGAGTTTATACCAATGTTCTAAGAATCACTAGGCTGTGGTTAGACACTTTATAGAGGATTATTGTTTAGGATTTGAAAAAATTGTTTTGTTCATACCCGATTTGATTTGCCCACTAGGCACTGGGAAACTGAATTGAACTTGCGTTTACTGTTAACAATAATGGTGCTAGTTACTGTTTTACTGAATGTTTGTTTCAGACTATTCATAGTTAAGATATAAAGTTGATTACTATGGTATTTGCAAATGTCCAGGTGTGGCTATTAACTCTGGTGGTTCTTCCAGCAAGAGCAAGTATCGTTGTGCGTGTGGGACTTGTTCTATGCACAGCTCTTTTATCAATCTCTGTTCTCCCAAAGCAAGTTTGGATGGTGAGTCCTTTTATCTCTCAATTTTATTATTATCCTAAAGCAATAAGCACATTTTTTTTATTAAGCGATAAAGCAAATGTTGATGGTGCGTTATAGTTTATCATAAAAATGCTGCAATGTTGTACTTATGTTAGTATAAAATGCGTTGCTAACTTATTGTAATTACAAGTTGCTCTCTAACTCTGTTCTTTGTTTTTCGATCTAGTTTCTCCTCTTAAGTTTTGTTAACTTTCTTCATGTAAGGATCAATTAGCGAGAGTTTCACTCCTTTCGGGTATACTATTCATAACCTTGGGGCTAGGTTCAGACGGTGCACCCCCAATGCTTCAATCAAGAACCCCACCATCTTCACTCACAGGCTTGCCTGATCTTCCCATGTCTTTGAGCGGTTATTCCTACATGTTGCTGAAGCTCGGACCTTTACAGTTCACAAGGAAAGGTTTATCTGTTGGAAGCACAGCTGCATGCTTAACCTTCATCGTAAGTCTTCGGTTAACGGTTTCCTCTACTAGCTCACCTAATGAGGAACGTTTGGTTCTTGTCACAGATCTTCCAAAGTGCTAGCATTTGCCTTGCAACCACAACGCCAGAGCAGCTTGCGCTAGCTCTGCGTTGGTTCTTGTTCCCGTTGACGTATATAGGTGTCCCTGTTGGTGAAATCATCCTCACGCTCCTGCTTTCACTGAGATTCATTAATTTGGTTTTTGACGAGGTGATAGACTTTTTCACCTTTTTGTTCTTTCTATATGCATACATCACCTGGCTAAGCTTCACATTCTTTAACCACATTAACGTTTGTTGTTACGTTAAAGGTCCGAAGTGTTGCACTTGGAATTGTATCCAGAAGAGTAGACTGGAAGCAACTTACTGTTCTTGAGACACTTGATAGTAAGAATCTAAGTTTGTTCTATCTCTTATTTTATCTGAAACTCATCCTACAAGTGATGTCTTTGGTTAGTTTTCGCTTCTTTCATTCGCCGGATATTCAAGAATATATTCCGCCATGCCGAGCAAATATCACAGGTGAAAAATAGGTGTCTGATAGCTTTTCTCATTGATCATCTTTGTGCAACTTTCTTTGAAACTCAAATAGGAATTCTCTGTTTATAGGAACTGTGTAACTTTTGTTTATGTGCAGGCTATGATTGTTAGAGGGTTCAGAGGAGAGAGCAGTAGCCACAAGATCTACTTCTTCTCAGGCTCATCAAATAAGTTTGCAGATTTTGCATCAGTTTTGTGTTTGATCGGTGTAATTTCAACCGCACTCTTGTCCGAATATTTCTTTGTCTAAATATTATCACTGATTGTTTCAGTTTAGTATTTTTTTAAAAGAACATTAAACGTCTATATTGAAACTTCCTTTATTTCTTGAGATAAATCAACCATTTCAAGGAAAGATCGAGACTCATGCATGTGGAAAGTTTGTGTTTCTTTTACCTTGGAATTTACAAGGAAGCAACTTTGCAAGTTGAGAACGGTTGCTAGACCTTTTTTCCGGCAGTCTCACGTTTGCACAACGATGCAAAAGTGGCAGACGCTTTAGTAAATGGAGAGTGGTGGTTGAGTGCTTCTCGTAGTAAAAATTACATAATCACCTTGTTAAAGCAATGCATACCATCACCTACTCCGATTGTGCAATCATCGAATGATGATATACATACTTTTGGAGAACGGGAAATGATGTTGTTCAAAAAAAAAGAAAAGGAGAACGGGAAATGATTCCCCCTTCAATTACATTCTCCACGGCAAAGACGTGGTTTACTCTTCACCCTCCATATCCTCTGGTTTATTGGCATTTTAAGTTTGGTTCAAGGGTAGAATCCATGCTTTTATCTTTTGGCTTGTAGCATGGAACAGACTATCTACTCGTGATAGAATGAGGAGTTGGGGTGTTGATGTACCGTCGAGCTGTCTGCTGTGCTCAGGTTGTGATGAGTCTAGGCACCATTTGTTCTTTACTGTGTCTATAGCTCTGAAGTATGGTCATACTTTTGTTCACGGTTCCGCATAATGCCTCCTACCTTATTTGAAGATCCTAATCTTCTCCTTATAGTGAAGCAGGTTTTTCAAGCTGTCTGTGTACTTGATTTGGAAATAGAGAAACGCTCGTTTGCATTCTAACTTGTGCAAACCAACTTAAGCTGTCATTCAGGAGGTAAAGCAGACTGTGCAGCTTAGGTTAGATCTTTTGTTTCAGGACATGAGGTTTGCTTGCAGCACCTCTTCTATCTTTTTGGGTTCTTAGTTAGTTTTTTTAAGGGCATTGTTAAATTCCTAGGTACATCCTTTTTTGCGGTTTTGGTAAAAGTAGGTGTTAGCTTTTGTAATCAGTTTTGATTTTGGAATAAAATAGTATTTTTTGAAAAAAAATAAGAATTTGTCATCCTAAGCCAATGTAGAATGGTTGTGTTTCTTTTGCCTTGAAAGAAAATAGACCTCTTGGTTCAAAACCTTGGAGTATGATAAATTGTTGATTACTGACAGGTTAATCAGGGACCTATATAAGTTCATCTCTCAATAGTCTCATCTAGGTTGGCGTTCAGGTACCCATTCAAGTTCGGTTCGGATTTATTCGGGTTTTAGATTTTCGAGTTCACAAATTTTAGCCCCATTCGGATATTTCTAAATCTCGGTTCGGATTCGGTTCAGATTTTTGCGGGTTCGGTTCGGGTTCGGATAACCCATTTAAATTATTTTTTAAAAATTTAAAATTGATTATATACTTTAAATTTCTAAAATGTATAAACAAAATAATATATTACAAATAATTGAATAAGATAAGACAAAATACCTAAAATTAACATATAAATTAGTTTGATTTGAATATTTTGATCGTGAATCAATAATTCTTTTAAGTATTTTTGATGTTTTGAGTGTACTTTAACAATTTTAGACATGTATGTTTGACTATTTACATATATTTACAAGTATTTTGATCAACTTCAAAGTATTCTATATATATTGAATGGTTTTTTCATATACAATAAATCTAAAATAATTAATATATATGTATATAAATCTTTTTCGGATATATTCGGGTACCCGAAATACTTCGGTTCAGGTCGGGTTCGATTTCAGTTTTTTAAATACCAAAATTTTGAACCCATTCGGATATTGAATCAGTTTCGGTTTAGATTCGGTACTACTTTTTCGAATCGGATTCGGGTCGGTTCTTTGAATCCGGGTTTTTTGCCCAGCCCTAGTCTCATCATGTTTTAAGATAATTCATTATGGGTGCAACTGGAATTGACTTTTTAGAATATAATCTTAATTTTTTGTATTTTTCACAATGTTCACCAGTTAAAATGAAATAAATGGAGAAGATTTATTATCCATTTTATTCCATGTCATCTCATATCCTTCCTAAAAACATTCATTTAAAAAATCATTCCACATCAAAAACAATTTTGGAATAAGTGAAATGATAATTTCATCCCACTTATTGTCTATGCTTGTTATGTAATATTGTTCTTAAGAGTAGCTCCAGGAAAAAAAGAAATTTATGGTTAATAGAAAGCATTCTTACTGTTTCTAAAAGATAAATGTTTTAAAATAAAAAATTTGCTATTTTGGAAACTTTTGTATAATTTTTATTAGTTAATAGTGATATAATGTAAACTTAAAAAGTAATTATTTGAAATACTATTTGTTTAAAAATATAGCAAATCGGTAATACGAAAACAATATACTATTTATTATCAAAATTTATTATTTTTAATGTGTAAAAACACATAAATACACATTTTTAGGAACATAGTGAGTATCAATTTTCAGTTAAGGTTTTGCTTGGAAAAATCATTCAATAAATGCGAAAACTAATTGGAAAATGTTTCAGTCCATAGTTGGTAATTTGTTTGATAAAGTCAACTAATATCTTGTTAAACGCAAATTTTAATCACAAAATCTGATGATACGTATAAACATATACATTAATAGACAGTTCCATGAAAGTCATCTGGTTGTATAAAATATTAATATATTTTTGTCAGTTTTCTGTTTAACCTACTTGGGAGAATTTAATGGAGAAGGTTGATGAACTGGTGAGGTTTTGGTTTCTTGCTGCTCTTTTCTTGTAGCAGGTTTCCACTGTTTGACTTTTTTAGATGTGAGACGCTCAACAAAATTGAGTGAATTATCTATTCTCCACCAAATCTGTAGCAGTTAAGCTCATCCCCTCTCTTCATAAACACTTTAAAATCTCATCTCTTCATTGATCATATATTATATTAGTCTTACTGTTAATGAAAATCTTTTGTTAAGAAATTTTTAAAAGAGGTTCAAGAGATTACATGTTGTGTGTGTTTAGAAGGAAGCTTCGTTTCCTTTTCTCAGGACTTAGATGGGTCATGAGGAAAAGGGTAAAGGCTAGAGTTATTGTCATGAGGCTAAGGAAAGCAAAGTGGAAAGCTCAAAGAACAGAGAGCCTTGAAACAGAAGTTTCTTCAAACCATCTGAACTCAAACTCCAGAAGACATATTCGTGTTGCAACTTTTAACGTGGCAATGTTCTCACTTGCACCCGTCGTGCAAAACATGGAGGAAACAACTTTGCTTGATCATATAGATGGCAACAATATTATAAGTCAATCCCCAAAAGGAATTCTGAAGCTGTCTCCGTTACATTCTTCTGCAGTCAAGAAGCCAAAGGTTTGTATTAATCTCCCAGACAACGAAATATCTTTAGCACAGAGTTACAGCTTTCTAAGCAATGTGGAGGAAGAGAAAAATGATGATGACGGGAAGGAAAACAGAGGAAGTATCTCGATGAGGTCTCCTGTGTGTCTTCCCTCTTGTTGGTGGGATCAAGAAAGCTTTAATGGATACAACAGCAGAAGAAGTATAGCTGAGTTGCTAGGAGAGTTGGATGCAGACATCTTGGCTTTGCAAGATGTAAAAGCAGAGGAAGAGAAACTAATGAAGCCGTTGTCAGATTTGGCTTCTGCTTTAGGTATGAAGTATGTGTTTGCAGATAGCTGGGCGCCTGAGTATGGCAATGCCATACTGTCAAAATGGCCCATTAAGAAATGGAGAGTTCAAAGAATCGCTGATGCAGATGATTTCAGGTGATAGCAAACTTTGAAGGGTTTAATCCAAAATGCAAAATGTTTTTGTTTGATGTTCTAAAACAAATTATTTTGCTGCATGTGGTCAACAGTTTTTTTTGTGTGTGTGGGCGTGTAGGAATGTGTTGAAGGTGACAATAGAGGTCCCATGGGCTGGAGAAGTAAACGTGTATTGTACTCAACTAGACCATCTAGATGAGAACTGGCGGATGAAGCAGATAGATGCAATTACTCGAGGGGACGAATCTCCACACATCTTGTTGGGAGGCTTGAATGCTCTTGATGGCTCTGATTATTCCACAGCAAGATGGAACCACATTGTAAAGGTAAGAGTTTGTAAGATATCACAAATTATATGATCTTAGATAGATCATAACTTAGTTATTTTTATAAACAACCAAAACAGTATTATGAGGATACTGGAAAGCCAACACCTAGAGTTGAAGTGATGAGATGTCTCAAGGGAAAAGGATATTCAGATTCAAAAGAATCAGCAGGAGAATGTGAGCCTGTAGTCATTATTGCCAAAGGCCAAAGTTAGTTTTTGTTCTGTTATTTTCTAAACTTCTAAAGTTTTATTGTTCTATTTGCTTTACCAAAATTTCTTGATATGATGCAGATGTACAAGGAACATGCAAGTATGGGACACGAGTCGACTACATTCTGGCATCTCCAGAGTCACCTTACGAATTTGTTCCGGGCACGTATTCAGTAGTTTCGTCCAAAGGTACTTCTGATCACCATATAGTCAAAGTCGACTTAGTTATAACAAAAGACCGGTCTAGTAGTGGTAGCTTCAAGGATACTCGCAAGAAAGCAAAGCAGAAGCTCATCAGGATAAAAGCTAATTTGATGTCCGAAGATACATGTAAATAAGGAAAATTTATTTCATCATAAAGTTTGGTAAATGAACTTATATAGACATATTTGTTTTTTTTTAAAAAGAACTTATTAGACACACACAATTTAACACTCCTGTTTATATAGTAACGGTTTTTCCTGTTCCGTTTAATTAAGTCGAGTATCATTTGCGTACTTGGTAACACAATGGGTTTGTACAAAACACACTAGCGCTGGTGACTGAGTTTTTTTTTTAAACATCTGGATCTATAGAGACATATTAGATCCTTTTAGAACTTGCAACTGCTCATTTTTTGTTTGTTTCATTTTTGGTTTGGTTTCTATCAGTTTTAGATTAGACTGGGTCTCAAATTCAAATGTCGTGTAATACCTATTTTTTATATATTTTGGATGTTTAGTATCCACAATAACTAAATTTAATTGAAACTTCAAAAAAAAAATATATCTTATATATTAAAAGAGAAGTCATGACTTCACTTGATATGTGATATTTCAAAATGGACCATCTATTAGAATTTATAACATTACACTATTCAATCATTAATAACATTTATTGGGTGCATTTATAACATTTATTGGACTTACCAAAAAACTTTATTGGGCTAATAATAATTAGGTGATACATTAGATTTATGGATAGTATAATAAAATACTTGTTTAAATTAAATTTATATAATTTAATGTTGTAATAGTATAAGTTAATTATTTATATATTTTCGATGTTAACTTTTAAATTATATAGTTTATTTTTAAAAATAAAAAATCATCATTTTCTAACAATAATTAATCTATACTACCTTAAACCAATGAATTTTTTTTAAAATTATATACTTTACTTTAAAAAATAACAAAAAATAATTGTCTAATTATATACTCCATAATATGAAGCTAACATTTAAAATTTTGGTAAACTTTATAAATTTTGAAAAATGTTACAATATTTTTAGAGATGACAACAAAACAATATTTTACCAACTTTTACATATATTTAAGAGTTCCATAATGAAATAATAATCCAAATATATATATATATATATATATATATATATATATATATATATATATATATATATAGAAGACGATACAAATATATGTGAAAGTTTGTAATAAGTTATTCAATGAAAACTAATATATGGTAAAATTGTTATCTTTTAAAAAATTGATATATACACATCATATAATATATACTAATTTAGGAGTGAATCCAAAATATTTATATAAAAATAAATGAAAACAAAACCCTGCGCGGTTGCGCGTGTTGAGATCTAGTAAGCTTTTAAAATATATCTAAACATGTTCTACAAATGAGTATAAAAATAAAACTTGAGAATATCTTTCTGAGAAATAAAGAAAACACAGTCATAATATCTAAAAGGTACAAATACCCAAAATATTATGATAAGTTTAATATTTTAGGTTCTATAGGTGACTTAATCGAGTACCACTTCTAATCAAATTGATCATACACATGAGTCAGTTCATGTTTGGACTTTTCGGTCCAAATAAAATACTCATGTTTATATATTGATTTAAATTTTCGAGCCTATTATTTGTAAATTTAAGATTAACTTAAATTTCTATAAGTAAAAGGTACTAAATTAAAATAACCATATGATATATAAAAAGGAAATTTTTTATAGAGAAACTAGTATCGGTTAAGCATGTGTCCCGTCTGCAAATGCACATGGTCCAGTTTTGTTTTCACACATTTACTTTACATTTGTGTATAGGAAATTAGGGTTCATTCTAATATTTGAATATGGTTTTTAATGGAAAGAAGCTAAAAAGAAAGTAAATCCTCCAATAAGATCTATCTACAATCTGGACAGAAGTCGTCAATAGCTATGAGCTCAACTTCTATTTCTAGGGTTTCATTCGTTTTTCAGATGCTCATATTTTCGATGGTATAATCTTGCTTGTAATCTCGAAATAGAGTTTTATTTGTAAAAGATCTTGTAAACCAACAACTAACTGAAATTAAAAACCACAAATATATTTTCTTAGTTTTACAATCCATTTTGAAACAAAGAAATAAAAACATCCATCTCACATTTCTTCAAACACATGCCAATCTCCACACCATTAGTCTCATCCCTTCTCTCCGACATAGTGAAGAGAATGTGTCGACTGAGAGTTACAATCTCAGTATTAACGGGCCTCCCCCACCCAAAATCCGATCCATATATCCCAAACCTGTTAGACCCAACAACCATCACCGTCTCTACACTTGGATCAAACTTTTTTCGTCCTTCCTCGTACAACTCCCACATTGATTCCACCCCTCTTGAGCTCAAATCTCTGACGGAGTCGCTAAGAATCTCGACAACATTGACGAATCCATCTTCTCCCAAAAACGTCTTTGCTTTGTATCCACAGATATTAATAGGTATCACGCAGTTACCCAAGTAGCTAGCGGGTACAGGCGGGTCTAACCGGTCTCTAAAATCAGCAACGTACATGAACGGAACTGGTCGGTCTGTGTCGCCTCCACGTGCCTTCACCATACAGGCTAATACATAGGCGTAACTGAGTACGAAAGTTGACAGGTGGAGATCGGAGCGCGTTGACTCACGTTTTGCTCGATCTCTAAGTTTCATCACGTTCTCTTGACTCAGCTCTAGCGTGATCCTGAGGAGATCTTCCATCTCTTTGGTCGAAGGAAGCTTTAGGGACCTTACAAATGCTTTGTCCTGCGGGAGTTGGAAGATCTTGGACTCGAGTTCACCTGGCACGTTGATGACCGTACGATCTAAAACCATAGGTAAATGAAAATCTTGAGGCATTTCTCCGTGTTCGAAAATGTGACCCCACGATCTGAGAAACTTAACTGCTGTTTGGCCGTCCAAGACAGCATGGTTCGATGTGATCCCCATGCAAATGCCCTGGTTCGCGAACAATGTGATTTGAAGAGACAGAACAGAGGCAGAGTCAGAGGAGACGTGTAGCTCGGGCACTAGAGCGCGTAACTCGGTCTGGTGACGGATCCCTTTGCCGGAGAGATGAGAGAAATTTGCTTCGGTCTCGGCCACTGTGAGAGAGACGTTGTCTTGTGGCGAGATGATGATGTAAGGCTTAGGATCTTGTGGGTCCCTCTTGAGCTGACCGGAGAGAGGGAGAAAGTGCGATAGGGCAAGGGAAAGGGTTCGCTCGAGTTTTGGGAGGACTAGGGAGTAGAACGAGTCGCCAGATGACTCAGCGAGTTTGTAAAAGATAACTCGGTTTGTATGATTGATTTTTAGCCACACTAAGTCGAAGAAAGAGAGTGGGAGGATGAGTTGATCCACAGAGGGGATCGCAGGACTAACTAGGGAGATCTTGATCACCTTTAAGGCCATCATGTACCGAGTATTCTCACTTGGGCTCTCTCTCACTCACTCTCACTATTTATATATATCCCATGAGACTGGGCATGTGCGTGTAGCACCTCGCTAGGTCTTAATTTTTCTTTATATCATTCTTTTTAGTTCCCCAGTTAAGATGCTTTTGCTAGATAAGAGAAATTTAAAAATACAAAATAAATGATGCATGTGTCGTTTAAATCAGTTTAGGCTTAACCATGTGCGGTCGAGACAGCCTGGGCCTTGATTTAAGAGCTAAATTTATCAAAATGTCATACTAAGTAGTTTTCTGAAAACACATATGGCTAAAAGATTTTCAAAAAACAAAAACAATAGTATTTCTCACTTGGGCTCTCTCTCTCTCACTCACTCTCACTATTTATATATATATCCCATGAGACTGGGCATGTGTGTGTAGCACCTCGGTAGGTCTTAATTTTTCTTTATATCATTCTTTAGTTCCCCAGTTAAGATGCTTTTGCTGGATAAGAGAGCTTTAGAAGTACAAAATAAATGATGCATGTGTCGTTTTAAGCAGTTTAGGCTCAACCATGTGCGATCAAGACAGCCTGGGCCTTGATTTAAGAGCTAAATTTTTCAAAATGTCATACTAAGTAGTTTTCTAAAAACACATATGGCTAAAAGATTTTCAAAAAACAAAAACAATAGTATTTCTCACTTGGGCTCTCTCTCTCACTCACTCTCACTATTTATATATATATCCCATGAGACTGGGCATGTGTGTGTAGCACCTCGCTAGGTCTTAATTTTTCTTTATATCATTCTTTAGTTCCCCAGTTAAGATGCTTTTGCTGGATAAGAGAGCTTTAGAAGTACAAAATAAATGATGCATGTGTCGTTTTAAGCAGTTTAGGCTTAACCATGTGCGGTCGAGACAGCCTGGGCCTTGATTTAAGAGCTAAATTTATCAAAATGTCATACAAAGTAGTTTTCTGAAAACAAAAAATACCCCCACCCCCTCCAGAAAAAAATATTGACTTGCAAGACAAATGAAATTCTTTTTGTGTTATTATTTTTTTCCATCTAGAATTTGAATACTAAAATATTTAGGCAAAACATGGCAAAAATCCTTAAACCATCTACAATGGTGAAACTCCTTTAGAGTCCTTAGGAAAAATATTTTCCGAATTTTAAATATTATTTTTTTCATATTAAAAAATAAAAAAATAAATAAATATCAACGAATCACGGGTTGCCACGTGTAAGGATTCACTAAGAAAGAATCCTTATGTAAGATTTTTTTGGACAGAATCCTTAACTTTTACTGAGGTCCACTGACTATTTAAATATTTTTTTCCTAAGAACTTCCCGTTAAGAACCGCCATTGCGGATGCTCTTAAAAGCTAGTTTTAGGTTGCAAGGGCGAAACTAGAAGGATTTACTGGTAGGTGCTTAGCTGTTAAAAAATAAATAAACATGGTGTTCAATCAAGATTTCGGTTCTGTTTCGGTTCTATTTTTTGGTGTTTATGTATTTTGGTTATAAAAATTAATTATCATATTAATACTATATTTACCTTGGTTTGATTCGGTTTATATACTAGTAGTTTTCGATTTATTCAATTTTATATCAAAAACCATAACTATATTTTCCATACTCTAACTTTTAGATAAAATATATTCTGTTTGGTTTAATTATTAAATATAAAATAACTATATTTACAAATAAAATTTAAAATATATTTTATTTAATTTGATGAAAAATAAGAAATAACATTTTTAATTTAGGAAAATAAAAATTAATAAAATTAGTGTTTTTAAAATTTTAATATCATATTAATAAATAAATTATTTATAAATTATTAATTTTATTATAAAACTTACATATAAGTATACTAATAAATTTAACATAATCGTTTTCTTTGGTTTATTAGGTTTGATATTATATATATCAAACCATATCTTTATTTGGTTTATTTGGTATTACCAAATCCAAATCATTTTTTTTTTATTTCGATTCAGTTTTAATTGGTTTTGTTTTACCACATTGATGGGACATCAAAACCAACATAAAAGCAAGTGAGTCACTAGTACATACTAAAATGTAGGTCTGGGAATTTTACCCTGGACCTGAAAGCCCAAATCTAAACCGATCGGAAAATACCCGACCCAAAACCAAACCAGAACTTTACAAATACCTACTGGGTCTAAAATTCTTTGTCCGAAAGAATCAGTATCGACAAGAACCGACCCAAATATACCCCGCCCGATAAGAATCGATTCGTACCCCACTTAATAACAAGAATATCCAAAACTATGACTTTTTTCGTTTTCATACACCCATCTGACCGACAATGTTAGTAGTTATCTTTAGGGTTTGAGAAAAACGTAATTGGTAGGAGCATTTGTAACTGAATGAACCCGAAACAAAAAAAAAGCCTTAGTCCAAACCTGATCTGAACAGTAATCTTTTCCAAAAAGGTCACGTAGGGCGATATTTCAAGTATTATCCCAATCTGATCTAAAATGAATGAGTATCCAGGAAAAACAAGAAAAATTGAATTGAATTAATATTTTAAATATGTAAGTAACTCAATTCATGTTTATTTTAGTCCGGGCCTAAAACTACATGAATCTGAAGTATTATTAACCAAATCCGAAATGAGTTTAATTAGATCTAAAAGGAGTCTTAAGCAGAGTTATAAAACTTACCCATACCGAAAATATTACCAACTACACTTGAACCAAACATATATAAAATCTGAATGAGATATTGGAAACTGAATCCAAAAAAATCAAAAAACCAAAAAAAAACCCAGTCTAAAATCATCTTCAATGGTTGCCTCTACTTTTAATTTCAATACAGAGTACTCTAGAAATAGAGGAGAATTTTGTTTTAATGGTACCTCTATTTTATACTTTAAAAATGTTTTATTCTAAGTATATTATTTTTAGTTATATATATTACTTTATTATGCAATTCTTAAATTTTAATATATTAAAAGTTTACCCATATTTTTTTATTTTTCTAGTATACTACCACAGTTGCACTATTGATACAGCTAAGTGAAAATTTTAAAATTAATATTTTAATATAATATATAATTATAAATAAATGATATACTAAATATAGTATTTAGATGTATAGAGTTATGTTATATAATTTATTTTAGTGAAAATGAAGACAAGTGAGAAGTTGTTTTGTAAAGAGAAAGTTTCACTCTGAAAAAAAGAATAAAAGAACAGTGTTACTCTATACTTGGTATATTACTGCTCATTCCTCTATATTTGGTGTAACATATAGCGCACCATTTAAAAAAATATCCCCTATATATTAATTGAGAAACATTTGAAAAGATGTAACCTCAAGTTTGTATTAATTAAAAAGTAACCTTGCTTAGTTGTCAATCAACTAGCATATCAATTAAACTGACGTGGCGGCTTTAGGTTCAATTGAAATTTGCTAGGGAAAAATAATTAGAGACGCATATAACGCATGTAACATAGTTTATATATTTATATATATCGCACACATGTAATGGAAGAAAAGGAAAATATACGATTTGATAACGATTTGCATATATTAACTATAATAACTTCATTCCTTTTAAT